GGATGATGGTACCATGAGTGACGGTACGATGAGTGACGTACGATGTGTAATGGTACAATGAGTGACGGTACGATGAGTGATGGATGAGTGACGGTATGATGAGTGACGGTACGATGAGTGACGGTACGATGAGTGACGGTACGATGAGTGATGGATGAGTGATGGTACGATGAGTGATGGTACGATGAGTGATGGTACGATGAGTGATGGTACGATGAGTGACGGTACGATGAGTGACGGTACGATGAGTGACGGTACGATGGATGATGGTACCATGAGTGACGGTACGATGAGTGACGTACGATGTGTAATGGTACAATGAGTGACGGTACGATGAGTGATGGATGAGTGACAGTATGATGAGTGACGGTACGATGAGTGACGGTACGATGAGTGACGGTACGATGAGTGACGGTACAATGAGTGACGGTACGATGAGTGACGGTACGATGAGTGACGGTACGATGAGTGACGGTACAATGAGTGACGGTACGATGAGTGATGGATGAGTGACGGTACGATGAGTGACGGTAGGATGAGTGATGGTACGATGAGTGATGGTACGATGAGTGATGGTACGATGAGTGATGGATGAGTGACGGTATGATGAGTGACGGGACGATGAGTGACGTACGATGTGTAATGGTACAATGTGTAATGGTACAATGCGTGACAGTACTATACGTGACAGTGCTATGCGTGACGTTACGACTGTACGATGAGTGATGGTACGGTATGAGATAGCACGGTCATTTTTTAAATGTCTAAACTGTTGCCTGTTTTAAACCATCCATATATTAACAGTTTTATCAGCAGTGTTTCAGAATCACATCTAGATCATTTCTCCTCATCCACAACAAAAACCTGAACTATTGAAGTTTCTGTCAGATGTTTCCCAGAGCTTCAGTTGGTCTCTTTTTGTGTTGATTCCTCTGCAGTCCTGAACAAAAAATCAAACTCCCTCATCCCCTCCCCTCTCATGTTTTATGCAGGTCTTTTCAAGCGGTTCTGCTTTCAAACACCTACACTGACTTCCAGCAGCCTGAGGCAGCAGTAATGGGCTGTAGAAACAGAACCAGGAACACTGCAGCTACTGCAGAACCCACATGTTGGTGCAGAAATGTTTCTGTCAGTGAGAAGCTTCTATCTGATCAGAACATGAAGGTCCATCAGAAACGAGGTTAAACTCAGGTTTTCTGCTGGGATGAATCAGAAGTCTGGATCTAGAACCAAAAATCCTCAGAGTTCAGGATGAGAGAACCCTCAGCAGCTGAAAACTCTTCTCTTACAGTTTATTCTACTGAAATTGTAATCAAGTCCTTCCTGTGGCTTTAGATCTGGTTCTGGTTCACGTTTAGGTTCTGGTTCTGGTCAGAGTTGATTGATTGGTGATGACTATTGTCATTGTACGGAGCACAGTGACATTACATTTAAGTTCCTCCTCCTCTGAGTGATCATAATGTTTCTGAGCTGATTCTTAAGTGAAACTGGTCATTTTTTCTTCCTGGTTTTCTGTGAAGAGGAGTTTAATCTTCAGACGTTTCATTTGAAGTATTTCCTCACATTCATCTCCTGGAGTTAATTGTTTGAAGTGTAAAAGATGAAAGGAGCTGATGTTGTGATGTGTCACACAGCATCAACAGCTGGATGATTGTCTGAACAGAAACATGAATAATTCATCTCTTGTTCTGCAGCATCTTCTCAGCCCTCAAACCTCGTTTATCTCCTGGGACGAAATGTCAAATGTTCCTGCAGAATCTAAAACCTGCAGGTTTTCTTCTGAACGTTTCAAACAAACAAACAAACAAACAAACAAACAAACAAACAAACACAAACAGACACATGCCAACAGCGAGGCTCACTGCAGTCGTCACTGTCATCACTGTTGATCTCTACAGATGTGTCCATGCTGCTGTTCTGGGACAGAGACCCGCCCCCTCCCCACCTGCCGTGGGCCCTCAGAGGCGACAGCAGGTGAGCCCCACCCATCGCCACCGCCGGTGGGCTGAGGGAGGGTGGGGAGAAGGCGGGGTTAGGAGACTGGGCGGGGTTAGGGGAGACAGGTGTGGGAGAGGTGGGAGACAGGCGGGGGAAGTAGGCGGAGATCTGCCGGATGGGTCTGATGGGACCGGGACAGACGTCTATGGCCATGTGTTCCTGGATGGAGATGCTGAGCTTCTTTCCTCTCTGCACCGTCATAGAGTCTGAAAACACAAGTCATCTTCATCAGCTGAGGAAGACGAGTGGCTCGTTCAGTCCGGTTCACATCAAACCAGCAGTCAGAGCTTTAATTAGCACAAAATCTGAAAGAAGTGCTTTTCTTTAATTTTTCCAGCAGATGAATTTATTACCGACGGGTTGATGTGACACAGTTTGGTTGTGCAGCCTGCAGAGTAATTACACCCAGCTGCATCGTTAATCTGCTTCGTGATTAAACCTGAAGTCTTCCATTAAACAAACTGAACCAGAGGACACACCAGAGACCTGAAGACTCGTCACGTCAGAGCAGCTGATCTCCACTGACATCAAGCTGCTGCAGGTCACCAGAAGCTCCGCCCACCAACGACAATCCAAAGATGAACCTGGTCCAGAGGGGCTTTTCTGGAAGGTCAAGCTGGACTCGAGGACCACTTGACCAATCAGAGGACCGGATGGTCTGGACTGACCAACAGAACCCAACTAAAAGACAAGATAGAACTCAAGGTCCAACATCAAGTCCTGATCAGGTCCACACCCCAACGGGAACAGTTCCAGTTCCAGACAAGGTCCAAGTTCCAATCAAAGACTAACCTGAGACCGAGTCTGTGAGTTGGACTCATGGAACCAGGACCTCCATCCAGCTATCTAGAAAAAGGTCAGTCTTTAAGTCTGGGTCTGGACAACATTCACAACTTCAGACCAGACAGAACTGGATCCATTGGGGTCTGTGCAGAACCCTCTGTGGAACCTGATGAAACTGGACCAATGGGTCCGTTCAGGTTTTCATTTCCAGCTGCTTCAGCTGAAACAGAAACTAAAGATCTGATTAAAGTCCAGCTAACATTAGACTGAACCGTTTGTTCTGGTTCTGTTGGTTCTGTTTGAGTCCAAACCAGCCGAAAAACGAGCTGATTTGACTGAACTGAATGAATTCTTTTGTTTCTGGTTTTTAAAGAGATAAAAGTTTGTTTTCCTGCAGACACAGAAGCTAATTCATGCTAATGATGCTACAGGTGAATAAATCAGCTCTGATGAGCATCCTGCTGGACATAATGAGACATAATGAGACATAATGTTTATCTTCAGATGTATTCAGTCCATGGTGGAAACCACAGAAATATTCACATCCAGGAAGTTTAAAAACAAATTATTATCTTGGTAATTTTGTGTTTTTTTTTTTTTCAGTTTATCTGCAGACTTTGTCCTGTTTTAGCTGTTGTTCAAGCCTTCAGCTCATACAGGAAACAGCTGCTCTCATATTAGGTTTTTGTAACTTTTATACTTTTTAAAATATTTAACTTGATACTTTTAGCTTCTACCTTTTGTTCTGCTATTTTAGCCTTTAGCTAACCTTTTCCTGTTTCAGGTATGTAGCTGATCTCTTGCTACTTTTAGCTCGCGTTCAGCTTATTTCACCTTCAATAACTTTTTCTAATTTTTCTTCACATTGAAGCTGAAAGAGAGRAAACCCTGCAGCAACAGATTAATGAAGATATTCATATCAACATATTCATTATTTGGATTTGATCAGTGAGGTGGAGCCTGAACACAGTTAAAACTGAGAGTTGTTTCAGTGAAAAGCAGCTGAACAGGTTGTTGGACCACATCAGTCTACCTGAGATCTGAGGCTCACKTGGCTCGTGTTTCCTGCTGCTCACTTTCTGTCAGGCGACACAGACATGTTTAATTCAGGAGTGTGTGTGTGTGTGTGTGTGTGTGTGTGTGTGTGTGTGTGTGTGTGTGGGCTGGTTTATCTGCAGAAACATTCTCCCACATGAAAGCTGGGTTTGGTGCTGGTCCGGTCACTGATATCCCGTCTCAGTGGGATTAGTGGTAACGAACCGTCCAGCGCTGCTGGCAGATCTGAGCGTGGAGAGGTCAGTCTGAGGTCAGGGTGTCACTTTGTCTCAGGATGATTGAGTGACAGGTGTGAAAGGATGAACACTCCGGTTCTGTTCTCACACACGGTTCTTATTGATCCCAGTTTGAACAGAACCATTTCACCAACTGTCTGCAGCTCTAAAAGTAACATTACTGCAATGATGCAAACAAAATTAGCTGAAATGATGCTAATAAAACTAGCTGCAAGATGCTAACAAAATTAGCTGAAATTATGCTAACACCACTAGCTGCAATGATGCTAACACCTCTAGCTGTGTTGATGCTAACACCTCTAGCTGAATTGATGCTAACACCTCTAGCTGTGTTGATGCTAACACCTCTAGCTGCATTGATGCTAACACCTCTAGCTGTGTTGATGCTAACACCTCTAGCTGCGTTGATGCTAACACCTCTAGCTGCGTTGATGCTAACACCTCTAGCTGCATTGATGCTAACACCTCTAGCTGTGTTGATGCTAACACCTCTAGCTGCGTTGATGCTAACACCTCTAGCTGTGTTGATGCTAACACTGATAGTTGCGATAAAGCTAACATTTCTAACAGGCAACGACAGCGTTCTTATTTAAAAAGTCTTGCTTTTCTGAAATTTTCTACACCTGCTTTTAATTTTTTCGGCTGCTGTTTAGCTCAGAATTTTAACAGCTGAGTGAGAGCGCAGAGCCACGTGGAGAGAAATGATCCAGGTAATATTTGACCAGATGAAATCAGTTCCTACAGAAGCCGACTGTTTTCTGCATCTTTGTCCTTGGTTCCAGTCAAATCCCAGTGAGACTGCAGATCTCTTTAAGGGGTTCTGTTGAACACCATGGAAGATAATTATATGCAGAAAACATTAGCTCTCAGCTTCTGTAAGTTCCAACAGGAAGCTAAGCTTTGTTTTTGTTTATTTATTAGTCTGAGAGAGAAACAACATCCTTTCTTTAAAAGAGTCAGGAAACAGAAGTAAAACCTTCAGCTTCAAGCGCTCCGAACCTCTGGGTTGTTCAATAAAATATTTCAGATTCTGTCTTCAGTTCTTCAGGTTTTTGTCCACAAAGAGCAGCTAATTAAACATCTGCTGCAGGAAGAGGATTTTCTGCTGCTGACAGGTTTCTGCAGCTTCTTTCAGGGATTTTAAATCCTCCAGTCACATTAGAATTCCAGCCAGCGGCTGCATGCAGATCAGTGCAGCTGAGGTTTTCGGCTGATGTTMGGCTCATTTAAGCAGCAAACTGCAGGAAAAATGAAATCTATAATAAAATCACCAAAGTTTACAACAAATCAATGTTATGAATAATGATGACATCATTTCCTTCGACCCGAACAAAGTCCAGAACCAGTCAGAACCACCCAGTGTCACCAAAACACTTTGAACACTTTCATTATTTTTCTATTTTTTATTAAAATCAGATAAAGAGTCTCTGATGAAGATTAATGTCTTTAATTTATCTCATTAAGTTTAATTTGTCCAGATTTAATTGTATCCTGATTAAAGAGTGAATTATCACAATAATATCTCATTAGTTGATTTACTGGATTCTTCTCACAGAAACTGGACTCTTAGATTTAAAGGTTCATTTTAAGAATGAAATTTGAATAAATGTAAAAACATGTTCCAGCTCAGATTCATTAACATGTAAATTTTTCACCTCAGCAGAGTAAAGTTTGAATAAAAAGTTTAATTATTTATTCTCCAGTAAAATCTCTGAGAGAAAAACTAAAGAATCAAACCTGCAGAGAATCAGATGTGTCTTACCTCTGGTTGTGAGCAGAGATTCCTTCACAAACAAGTGGGCTTTAGTGCACGAGGGTCCGCACTAACAGGTGGAGGGATGAGCATCCGAGGAGTCGGGAGGAAGAGGAGGAGGAGGAAGATCTTCCTGACAGATTTGGATTTTTTTAACTCCTTCTGTTTCCGCCTCGCTGTCGAGCCGAGTGTTTAATATCCTCTGAGCTTCAGCATCAGCTGCATCGAACTCTGGCTGTAATCACACATGGATTAGATTAACCCCACACACAGACACACACACACACAGACACACACAGACACACACACCAGGCTGCAGATGAAGGGG